TTTTTTTTTTTTTTTTGAGACAGGGTCTCACTAAGTTACGTAGGCTGGTCTTGAACTCCCTGGGTCAGTTTCTCACATAGCTGGGATGACAGACATGCACCACTGTGCTCAGTTTAAAACTATCTATCTACCTAGTGGTACTGAAGATTGGACCCAGGGACTTTTAAAATTTTTGTTTTGAGACAGGATTTCACTACGTTGGTAAGTTGCCCAGACTGGGCTCAAATTTGCAATCCTCCTGCCTCAGCCTCCCAGAGTGCTGGGATTATAGGAAGATGTTGCCACGCCTGGCTAAAGCACTGCCTTTGTAAACTCCGATTTTTTCACCTGTAGTCAAAAGGGCTGTATTAGCTGTCTCCTAAGGTTCCCTCCAGTCTGCAAGCTTGTGCTCTAGGGTGTTCTCATGGGAGCCCCTCTCCCACCTTCTTCTGCTCCAGGGTCCACAGTTCACCTTCTCCCAGGAAGACTTCCTGACTTCCATCCTGCCCTCCCTCAGGGAAATTGACACTGTCATCTTCATTTTCACCCTGGATGGTGAGAGGGAACATGGGAAGGGGTGGTGTGAGGAGCCGGAAGCAGTACAGTGACTCAGAGAAGCTGCCATTTTTCTGGGTCTTGGGACAGCAGCTCAGAGGGAGGCACAGGTGAGAGTACTGATCCAGGGTGGCAGGAAGGACACCTGCCCAGCCCACCTTTCCACTACACCTGTCCCTCAGATAACCTCACGGAAGTGCAGACGCTGGTGGAGCAGGTGAAAGAGAAGACCAGCAATATCCAGGCCCTGGTGCATAGCACTGTGGGGCAGTCCCTGCCGGTGAGGGTCCATCCTTGAAAGGGCCCTGGGTGGCAGTCACAGCCTGGCCTGCCTGGGCATGTCGTTCTGGGTCCTGTTTCTCTTCAGGCCCCTCTGAAGAAGCTCTTTCCCTCCATCATCAGTATCATGTGGCCACTGCTTTTCTTCGAGTACGAAGGGAACTTCGTCCAGGTATGGAGGGTGAGAGAGTAATATTTGCAATGAGGGGCTAAGAGGGGAGAGGACCTCAGAAATTAGAAAACCCAATGCTGGAGGGGAGAAAGCTTGAAGGTTTGTCTTCCCCCTACCAAGCCAGTAGATTCTTGAGTTAGTGGGTCACTAGGCAGTTTCCAAGGCCATGGGCTGCTGGGTTCAGCTTGTTCTAAGAAGAATATGTGAAAGGTCAGCATGGGCTGCCAGTTACTTATCAGATGTCCATTTGTCCTTTGGGACAAATTAGTTGCCCATTGTATAGTCGTCCTTACTATCCTAAAACTTGTAAGACACATTTTTTGGCAAGTTGCACTATGCTGAATTCACTGATAGATATTCCCTGCTTGACCATGAAATTATAATCCAAGACAAGCACTGGTAATAATCATAGAGATCACAATCAGTTTGTGCGCACTTTGCAGTTTACACTTGATCTTAGCCAAAAGGCAGAGAAGCGATTTGCACTTTGCAGTTTAGTTTGGATCAGGAATCAGAAAGTTTGGGTTTTGGGTGCTCTGTTGTGTGGCCCAGGAAAAAAGAAATCTATCTCTGAGCTTTGCTTTTCTCACATGCCACCTGCCTGTGGGGCAGAACCAGGCCCCGAAGGGTTCCCTGGGATGATGTGGCCTCTCATCCGTCATTCATTCGGCTCCTCAGGAAGATTCCTGACTTGACCCAGCAGCTCACAGGCTGCCTCAATGGACTCAGAATTCTTATGGAAACTTCTCTTGGCCAAGCAGGGGGTCCACTGTCCTTCCAATGCACATCTCTGTCTTCCCTTCCAAATGGTGTTCATTGTCACAACCCTCCTTCTTGGCACGCTCCTCATATACACTGACTTCTAAAAACCTCCTCATGTTATATGCCTCTCTGCAACTGTAGGCTCCTCTATATTGTCATAACACCTACGATGCCGTAGCCCCTTGCTCCTTATGAAACATCTCATGGATATTGTCTCAGTTCCCAGTCTCCTGAGGAATGCATTTTTTTTTTTAGGAATGCATTTAATTTAACAATTTCACAGCTAAAATTAAGAGGTTGAGGGATCGTAATCATGGACATACAGCTTAGAAATGAATCAGGACTTAAACTCAGGTTTTGTGAATCAAAGTATATGGCTTATTTTGCTATACAAAATAAATTTCATCCACATCTAAGATTTAAGATAGACTCTTTTATTCATTCATTCGAGAAATATTGCACCTGTCTGGAAAGCACAAGGTCCTGAGTTCGATCCCTGGTACTGAAAAAAAAAAAGAAACTTTAAAAACGGGCTGGGGATTTAACTCAGTGGTTTCGCTGCCTGCTGCGCAAGCGCAAGGATCCAAGTTCAATCCCTGCTACCAAAAAAAAAAAAAGAAATATTAAGCATTAGCTGGGGATTTAGCTCAGTGGTGCTGCACCTGCCTTGCAAGTACAAGGTCCTGAGTTTGATCCTCGGCCCTGGGGGGGAAAGAAAGAAATATTAAACATCTATCACAAGTCAGATACTGGGCCAGGAACCAAGGATATATAGTAGGGAATGGTAATCTATGATCTTTTAATCCTCTTTTAAGGAAAAATGTTATTGAAATAGCAACACATCTTTATTGTAAAAAATTTAAAAAATAAAGAAATGAGGGCCGGGGATTTAGCTCAGTGGTTTCGCCACTTGCTGTGCGAGCGCAAGGACCTGAGTTCAATCCCCGCTACCAAAAATAAATAAATAAATAAATAAATAAATAAAAAATAAAGAAATTCAAGCCAGGTGTAGTGGGTCGTGCCTGTAATCCCAGCACTCATGAGGCTGAGACAGGAGGATCACCATGAGTTCAAGGCCAGCCTAGGATACATAGTGAGTTTCAGGCCAGCCTGAAATATATAGGAAGACCCCGATCTCAATAAAGAGAGAAGGAAAGAAAAAAGAAGGAAAGAGGAAAGAAAAATATAGGACTGTACTTGACATACTGTTTTTACATTGCTTTTCTTCATTTAAAAATTATGCATATCTTAGGGCCGGGGATTTAGCTCAGTGGTTTCTCCGCCTGCTGCGCAAGTGCAAGGACCCAAGATCGATCCCTGGTACCAAAAAAACAAACAAACAAAAAACCCCCCACAAAACCAAAAAAAGCAAAACAAAAATTATGCATATCTTTACTAATAGACCTGTAACATTTTTAATGTCAACATAGATTTTCACTGTGTGGGTGCATCCCCATGTGTTTAACCCTAACTGGCAGACATGGAGTCAGTTAAAATATTATTTTTGGGCTGGGGATGTAGCTCAGTGGTTCCGCTGCCTGCCTCAAAAGCACAAGGTCCTGAGTTTGATCCCCAGTACCAAAAAAAAAATTATTATTTTTCTCAGAATGCTCCGCAGATGATCTTGATACACACACCTCTGGGGCATTTGACGGTTTCACTAAGGACTGCCAAAGAGGTTTACAACAAAGTGTGAGACCTCTTGTTCTGTCGCACCATCATAAAAGCAGGTCTCCGCTAATCCTCAGTTCATTACCCTTTGCAAATCACCAAAGCCACTAACCAGAACAAAAAACCTTTCCTTCCATGCTGTTTAATTTGTATTTGCTTAATTACTGTGGACCTTTACTGACCAAAGATGTGTATCTGCCATTTGATTTTTTTCTTTCTTTTTATTTGGTGGGGAGGTATCAGGAATCGAACTTGAGTGCTTGTCCTTGCAAGGCAGGCCACAGAACCACTGAGCTAAATCCCCAGCCCCTGATTTTTTTCTTTCATCTACTTTTTGTTCATGTCTTTTTGGTGTATTCACTCACTTTTTTTAAAGAAGCAGAAGAAGGATTTACTAGAGGAAGACACAGGACGCACTCCAGAGTGGAGGGTCACCCACTTTTTTTGGAGGGCATTTATTTTCTTTCTGATTTGTAAGAGATATTGTAGAGCAAGAAAAGTAGCCCTCTGTTTTATGTTTTTACTAGTTTATTATTTTCCTTTTATATGTATTTTTGATATAGAGACTTTTAGTCACTTAACTGTATCAGTCTTTTCCTTGGTGGGGTTTTTTTTTTTTTTGGTACCAGAGATCGAACTCAGGTCCTTGCACTTGTGAGGCAGGTGGTGGAACCACTGAGCTAAATCCCTGGCCTTCCTTGGTGGTTTTTATCTTTCACTTGATGTTGCTTTTATCTTTCTCAATGAATTAATATTGTCAGAAAGAAGGTGGCTTCCATTAGGGCTTATAAATTATAAAGTTGTAGGGTGTGTGTGTGTGTGTGTGTGTGTGTGTGTGTGTGTGTTACTGGGGGTTGAACACAGGCCCTTAGCCCTGAGCTACATCCTCAGCCCTTTTTCCTTTTTGAGACAGGTTCAGGTTCTCGGTATGTCACTAAGTTGCCCACACTGGGCTCAAACTTGTGATCTTCCTGCTTCAGCCTCCCAGAGTGCTGGGATCACAGGCATGTGCCACTGTGCCCAGCTTCGCTGTAGATTTGTTTTGTTTTGTTGAGACAAGGTCTCGCTATGCAGTTCAGGCTGGGCCTGAACTCTTGGTGATCCTCCTGCCTCAGCCTCCGAGTGCTGGGATCACAGGTGTGTGCCACCATACCCAGCTTGTAGAAATATTTTGACCCAAACTGCCCCCACATTTTTATTTTTTTCATTTTCAAACCTAAAAGTTGCAGGAATGGTACAGTGAACACCCATACACTTTTCCCTAGATTCCCCAACCATATTCCGCCTTTGTTATATTTCCCTTTTCTCTGAATCATTTGGGAGAAAACTGGAGATACCATAGCACTGCACTCCAATTACTTTGGAATGTGAGCCCTAGGAACAAGGACATTTGCTTATATGACTACAAAATAATTATCCACTCAAGAAAAAGACACTTAGTAAAAGGAAAAAAAAGACGATTAGTATAGTACCATTATATCCAATCCATATTCAGATTTCCCTAATTATCTCCCTGGATTGTTCTTATTTTCAGTATCCAAGATCCAATCAAGGATGATGCCTTACATTTAGTTATCAGGAGGGGCCGGGGATTTAGCTCAGTGGTTCCACCACCTGCCTCGAAAGCAGAAGGACCCAAGTTCAAACCCGGGTACCAAAAAAAAAAAAAATAGATGACATTTAGTTATCAGGTCTTTTTGCCTTAATTAATATTTCTCAGTGTTTTTTCTTTTTATTTGTCTGACATTGATGTTTTAGAAGTCTAGACAAATTATTTTTAAGAATATGCCTCACTTTGGATTGGTTGATTGTTTTTTTTTTTCTGGTACCAGAGATCGAACTCAGGACCTTGCACTTGCCAGGCAGGCACCAGCACCACTGAGCTAAATCCCGGGCCCAATTGTTTCTTCATTATATTCAGGTTAAATTCCTTGGCAAGAGTACTGCATAGCAGAAGTTGTGTCCTTCCAGCGAGCTACATTAGGAGGCAGCTGATGTCAGCTTCACCTTTTATTGATGAGGTTGCATTTGGCCACTTGGTGAAGGTGATGACTCTGAGATCCCTCTCATCCTATTGCTCAGCAGTCTTTCACCCATGGTGTGAGCATCCATTGGTGATTCTTGCTTGAATCAGTTATTACGATGGTGGTTTCTATTTATATCCCTTCTATCTATGTCATTAGTTGACTTTCTTCTGCAAAGAAAAGCATCGTCTTACTCTCTTTTTTTCCATCTATGTTTGGTGGGTGTCATTCTGGACTCACTGTGAATTTTTTGTTGTTGTTAATGTGTTTTAATTGTAGTCGTGTTTGAACCCCGGGCTTTTGCACTGAGCTACCTGTTCTGCCCTTTTTAATTTTTGAAATTTTGAGACAGAGGCTCATTAAGTTGCTAAATTCTGTGTTTTCCCCAAAATAAGACCTAGCTGGAAAATAAGCGCTGGCTGTTACCATGGTGATGGCCAGTGTCATGCAGAAGATTACATCTACTGTTCTCTTGCTCGGTGGCTACCCTGCAATGGCAGGTAAGGCAAGGTAACTGTGGCTGCTTTTTTTTTTTTTTTTTTTTTTTTGGTACCAGGGATCAAACTCGGTCCTTGCGCTTGCGCAGCAGGCGGCGAAACCACTGAGCTAAATCCCCGGCAGCCATTTTTGATCTCTAGTTTTCAAGGCTGATTATTTTTTGGATAGGTCTTATTATCCAAGAAAACACAGTTGCACAGGTTGAGCTCAAACTTGGGGTCCTCCTGCCTCAGGCTCTCGGAATTCTGGAATTACAGGGATGTGCCACCGTACCTAGCTTGCTTGTTTCATTGTGATGCTCAAGGTGAGAGCTTATTCAGGTAGGCTCCATGTGAAATATTCACATCCATATTTGAACACTGTTTGCTGTGTTTCATTTTGAAAAACAAAACATTTTTTCTTAGGCAAAAGGTAGCGTACCTTATTTTCCTCTTGCATGTTTTGCTTGACAAGATATTCTGAAACTCATGGAAGATCCCTTTGTCTTGGGCGTGTGTGTGTGTGTGTGTGTGTGTGTGTACAAGCTCACCTACTCCATCTTGTATGTAGGGCATTTAGTTTGTTTCCAACATTTTGCTATTCCCAATAACACAGTGAGTGTTCATATACTTTTGTAATATTAGAAGTGTCTCTTTGGGATAAATTCTAGACATATTAGAGCTGAGTCAATGGGCAAATACATGCGGAATACTGTTAAACGTGGTAAAGTTTTCCTCCATAAAGGTCATACCATTGACTTTTCACATCAGCAGTGTGTGAGATGCCACTTCCGGTGGCCTCTCAGAGCACTGTCCAGCAAGCGTTTGGATTTAGTCGGTGGACCTAATAGATGAGCACTGCCATTTCTGTGTAGGGTTCACTTGTGTTTCTTTTATTATATGTGAAGCTGAGCATCTTTCACCTGCTTAAAGGACTTTAGTAAATCTTTTTTTTTCCTTTGTGAACAGTTTGTGTGTCTTACTTCTTTAGTGAGTGGGCTTTTCGTCCATCTGATTAGGCTTTTATTTTTGATATATGTTGTAAATATTTTCTCTTCATTTTAACCATGCAACAGTCTGCATTAATTTTTCTGATGTTGAACTTAGCAATCTTTCTTTTACTGAATTTGGATCTTGAGACACAGAAAGCTTTTCTCTATACTCAGGCTGTACAAGAGTTTCACCCACATTTTCTTGTAAAAATTCTTTTAAAATAGGTTTAGGAGTTTAATTATTTAGTTTGTTCTTGTGTAATGGGACAAGGCATGAATTTCAATTCTATTTTTTGGTTGATTTTTTTTTGGTACTGGGGATCAAACTCGGGACCTTGCGCTTGTGAGGAAGGCAGTGGAACCACTGAACTCAATCCCTGGCCCGAATTTCAATTCTACATTTTTCCATGTAACTGTCAAATTTTCCCAATATAACTTTTTTTTTGTTATCAGGAATCGAACTCAGGACCTTGCACATGCCAGGCTGATGTGGCACCACTGAGCTACATTCCTAGCCCCATGTCCCAATATAACTTATAAAGTACATTTTTCCTGAGTGATTTTGGATGCTATCTGTATCACACACTCAGTTTCCTGTGCATTATGTCATTTCTGGACTTTCTATTCAGTTCCTTTGGTCTTTCTATTATGTGCTGCTACCTTATGTTTAATTATAGGTGTTTTATGGTATGTTGAAGACCTCGTAGGATTAGTCCTTCCATCATTACTCTTTAAGGATTTTCTTGGCTATAATTGCAGGTTTATTTTCCCATATGAACTTTCAAATGAACATGTCTAGCTCCAAATTGTGTTAACTTTAAAAAGTTTGTGTTACTGATAGTTAATGGCAAAAATGGTTAGTCATATAATGATATAACTCGAATTTAATTGTACTCTCTCCTAGGGACAGCGTGACATACAGCTTATAGTGTCAGTACATACGCTAGCCAGCCTCATTGTCAGATTTCTGTCATGCACTTATTAAATGTTTTCCATACCCTCTTCCAGGGATTTGTATGGCCAGCTATTTCAGGGGCTCCAGAATAAAGAGATAAAAGTAGTAGCAGCCTGTTTTCTTAGCCTGCTAGGACCACATGAATCCCTTTAATACCTTTGCTTTAATATCCTCATTGCCCTGCAAGTGCAGTAATAGATGTTATAGGTGCGACAAAGTGGGTGAGGTATGTGGGCCGGGGCAGGCAGACTCACAGTACCCGTGTGTGTACCTTTTCATTTTCAACATGCTTTCACGCATTCTCTCATTGATTTAAGTTCTAATTCTGTGTCTCACTATCATATGAACTTATTCAAGTTAATTCATATGTAATTCTTCATTTCCTCATACATACAAATGAAGATAGAAACACCTATTTCATAGGGGTGCTATACGAGTTAAGTGGAATTCTCTTTTTTTGTGGTACTGGGGATCAAACTCAGGACCTTGCACTTTTGAGGCAGGCAAGGTACCACTGAGCTAAATCCCTGGCCCAAGTGGAATTCATTTTTCAACATCCATCCATTGATCAGCAGCCATGCGTCAGCCATTACCCAAAAGACAGGGGCTCTGGAGCAGAATTAGACACCATCTTTCCCTCCAGGAGCTGTCATTTAGTGGATGAGTTTCAGGACTTCCACTCCTCCTTGTCCGGTACCAAGGAACAAAGGGGACATTTTGGCAAGAGCAAAACCCTACTATAGAAGGAGTCAGAGAAGATTTCTGTGTAGCCAGTAGTCAGAAGCACAAGTGGGTGAAGCTGCTGGGTTTGCCTGGAACAGCCCTGGTTCATTCCCAATGCCCTAAGATGTAAACCGTGGGCTGTTCAACAAACATTCTCTACATTTTGGTCCCTGGTTTTCCACCCTTGGTTTCTTGTCTGTCCTGCTGCTGCTGCTCTCCTGGCCTCTAATTTTTGATTGCCTCATATGTCTGTCTTTTTTAGAAGTTCCAGCGTGAGCTGAGCACCAAGTGGGTGCTGAATACAGTGAGTACAGGGGCCCATGTACTTCTGGGGAAGATTCTACAAAACCACATGCTGGACCTCCACATTGGCAACTCCAAGCTCTTCTGGCGGGCACTGGCTCTGCTGCAGGTAGGAACGTAATGGGCACAACTCAAAGTCCTGGCTGCCATGGGAGGGCATTTTGCAGAGGCAGGGGATATGTAGGGGTAAGACCAGACTTTTCTCCTCCTGCATTTATCAGGAGCATCCTCTCCTGGGTGTGTGTGTACACATAGGCACAGGAGTTGAGCTGTAACTTTTAGCCAAGAGACTTCCAGTTACAAGCATATAACAGAAACCCACCTCACATTGATTTAAGCACAAAAAAAGGGCAAATGTTTGCTCATGTAACTGAGCAATCATAGGGGAGCCAGATGCCCTAATGATAGAATCTAGAACTTTTAGCCCTTAGCTCTGTTTTCCTCTGTGTTGTTCTCATTCTCTGATAGATTTTCTCCACTAGAAGGCATAGTGGTCACGAAGTGCCAACCTGATATTCTGTCAATTTAGTGAATCTGGTCGAAGGAGAGCATTCTGTCCTTGTGATTCCCAGAAATCCTTGGAGGAAGGGCTCTCATTGGCTTGTGTGGGGTCACATGAGCACCTCTGAACCAATCACTGTCCTCCAGGGGAAGGGGGATTTTTCCTTCAAGATGGAGACAGAGGAAGGGACCACAGGTGAGCTTCAGTCAGACCTTGTGCCCTGAGCATGGGGAACAATATTTCCCCAGAGGAAAATCCAAGTGCTAGTACCAGAAGGAGGAGGAGTTGCTGAGCAGATAGCACAAGGGATGGCCTTGAATGTTGCCATCCTTGATCTTAAGGTTGCCAGTTTTAGCAAAGCAAACAACAGACAAAAACCAGTACATCCAGTTAAATTTGAATTTCAGATAAATGCTTTTTAAGTATATATAAGTCCCATGCAATAATTGGGACATATATGAACTTTTTCATTATTTATCTGAAATTCAGTTTTAACTAGATGTCCTGTGTTTCTATTTACTAAATCTGACAGCCCTGTGCAAAAAGAATTGATCTATGAACATTTAGTGAGTACTCACCAGGTTCCTAAAACAACCTATGGAACTTACTGTAGTCCAGTAGAACTACCAAGAAGGTGGGGTAGAATAATAAAGAGAAGGCTTCCCAGGGGAGGGGCTGTTTGAGCTAGGCTTGGTGGTTAGGACTTGGGTAGATGCCGGGCAGAAGAGGATTCCTGGTAGAGCCTTAGCCAAGGCCCAGAATGGGGCCGAGGCATAGTGTGTAGGGGATGCAGGTCTGACAGAGTGGAGTCATTTTACAGAGTAGTGAGGGATTTTGAAGGAGAAGGATTGTGAAAGGTTGAAAGCAGACCAGAGTTTGGACTTGCCAGATATAGGTGGAGCTGTGCTGTTGAAAATGATGGCCACCAACCACGTGTGGCTTTTGAACACTTGAAATGTAGCTAGACTAGGAACTGAATTTTTATTTTATTTATTTACTTATTTATTTTGCAGTATGGGGGATCAAAGCCTGGGATACGCTGCTACTGAGCTAAATCCCTGGCCCATTATTTCATTTGTAATTTTTTTTTTTTTTGTACCAGGGATCAAACTTGGGACCTTGTGCTTGTGAGGCAGGTGGCTGCACCACTAAGCTAAATCCCTGGCCCCATTTAATTTCTAATTTTGAGACAGGGTCTTCCTAAGTTGCCCAGGCTGGATTTGAATTTGTGATCCTCCTGCTTCAGCCTCCTGAGTAGCTGGGGTTACAGGTGTGCACTACTATATCCAGCTGAATTTTTAATTGTATGTGAAAACTGAAGCAATGTAATGTTTCTCATTAAATACAATTGTATTATTTTGATAGGTTTGCATTTCACTTAACATTGCAAATTGAACACCCAAACTGAGATGTACTGTAGTTGTAAAATATGCACCAGATTTCAATACTTATGAAAAGGTTATAAAGTGTCTCCTTTCATCATTTTTTTTTGGTACCGGGGATCCAACTCGGGACCTTGCACTTGTGAGGCAGTCGCTGGAACCACTGAGCTAAATCCCTGGCCCCATCATTTTTAATATTGCTTACATATTAAAATATTTTTAATATATTGGTTAAATAAAATACATGAATTAAAATTGATTTCGCCACTTTCTTTTTATTTTATTTTATTTTTGCAACAGGGTCTCCTTATGTAGTTCAAGCTGGCCCTGAACTTCCAGCGATCCTCCTGCCTCAACCTCCCAAGTGTTGGGATTACAGGCGTGCACCGCCACACCCAGCCACCTGCTTCTTTTTTAACGCAGAAAGTAGAAAGCTTTAAATTACAGACATGGTTTGCATTCTATTTCTGGACCATGCTGGGCTAGACAGAGGAAGAGTGACAAAATGGAAACGATGTCTACAGATGTTTTGATTGCAGTGTGCAGGGTGGATTTGGCCAGGGAGGAAACCTGAGAGAGTGAAGTGTAAGATTAACCAGTCTATGGGGCTGTTGGGACACAGGTGAAAATCTGGCCCGTTTACCATTAATTCTGGTGTAGCCTAGCCAATCGCAGCCCACCACCAGCCCCTGTACCCCAGTGCTTCTTAACCCCTGGGGATTCTGAGACAAATCAGCCTTCGGGATCCAAGCCTCTCACTTTCCCAGTTCCTCCTCCTCCCTTGACCCTGGCCTTGACCCTGACCGCCCCGCTCCTCCGCAGCGGTTCTCGGGACAGTCCAAAGCGCTCTGCATTGAAAGCCTCCTCCAGGCCATCCACTTTCCTCAGCCACTGACGGATGAAATTCGGGCGGCTCCCATCTCCAGCCACATCCAGGTTGCAAGGGAGAAGAAACAGGTATCCTGCCCCCTGCTGGTCATTCGGCGACTGCGCGCGTAGCGAGTAGTACTTTCCGCAAGGGCCAGGGACTTGGCTGGACGTGGGTTTACAAAGCTCAGCGATATTCTGCCCACAAGGAGCTCCTCGTCCATGGCTGGGGCCTGATTGTGACGAGTGGTCCCGGGGGTGTGAAAGGGGTGCCGAAAAGAGACCTTTCCTTCTGCTTTGGAGGGGATCAGAGAGTGAAAAGAGGTTGCGCGCGCCCTGAGGGCTTCTGACTGCGGCGCCGCGTGAATGCTCTCGCTCCTTCCGCCTCAGCCTTCAGTTCTGGCCGCCTCTTCCCCCAGGTGATCCCTGTAGCCTTGGTGAGCCTCCTCTCCCGGTGCTCCATCCCCACGGCTCAGGCGCGCGTGGCTGCAGCTCCCTCCGTCTGCGAGGCTGTGAGGAACGCCCTGGCTGGGCCGGGTCGGAAGCGCGGCGCCGAGCCGCTGGAGGCCTCACGGCCGGCCGTGCAGTGACCGGGGCCGGCGAGGGAAGGGGCCTGGCCGGGGACTCGCGTGCCGTCTGTGTGTGGAGGGTGCAAAAGCCCTGTGTCCAGGGCACCAGCAGCCCTGGGTGCGAGGAAGATTTTCTCCACCTTACCGGACAGTTCTTGGTCTTGACACAGTGGTTTCCACTTTCACTAGCTTATTCTGAACTTAGAAATAAAGCCAAGCATCTTGTTCTGGAAAGTTAACCTTACAAGGTCAGTGAGTCTCAGTACGTAGGTCAGAGGTGGGACAGCGTGGGGGACTGGGTTGGTCCCAACAACAGATTCCTGTCTGTGGTTGTTCATTGCCCTGGCCCGTTGTCCAAACCCTATTCCGGGTCCCTGCATCCTCATCTGCCGCACAGGTACACGCGCAAGTGCACACCCACACACTTCCTAGTCCCAAACGGGACACACACACACACACACACACACACACACACACACACACACGGGCACGAGCGCGTGAGGGGACCTTGTAGATAATTCCAGGGAAAGGGGGAGAGGTCGTGCCCCTAATACAGTGTAAGCCACTCAGAAAGTGGACCTGATTAGACGCAACAGGACCCTTGCTCCTGGAATCCATCCGCACATGAGACGTGAAAGGAGGCTTGCGTCCTCTGCCCCGGGTTTGTTAGAGGAGCAGAAGGGACTCCGGGGGCGCCGAACAGAACACCTTTGGTGGTGAGTCCCAAGGAACCCTAGAAGCCTCAGATTACGTTTTAGTCTTCCGCTATCACATGTTTTGACAGATAGAGGGCGCCCTCTTCAATCCCAGACCCCTGCCCGTTCTTCAGTGCCTGAGACGTGTGGCTCCAATAGTAGAGAGCTGGCGCCCCCTTGTGGCAGAGAAACATCCAGCTCGTGGACGCCCCGAAACACTTGGGATAAAGCCTCCCCAAAGAAGGTCACTGGAATTTCTGGGCGGGATGGTGATGGTTAAGGAGCCACATTTCAGTTTTATAAGGGTAATCAATCTTTGAAAGGCAGTCATAGACCACTCCATACATCCGTGGGCCTCCAGCTTCTCTCTGAGCCGTTTTCCTGTTCTTTACATTGCTTAGACTTTAACCAACTTCCCTCTCCCACCACCGCTCTCACAGTGCCATCTGAGGGTCGCATCTTTGTCTTTCATCTGCCATGAACACTTCTTCCTAACTCCATAGCTCCTGTATGTCTTCACTGGGTAAATCCACCTCTCACCTTGACATCACGAGCAGAGTCATCAGACAAGATGTGTAGCTCTCTAGAGCCCGAGGACAGAGCACCCTTTGAACCTATAAACGATGCCAACATGCACAGTACCCCGAATCCACGTGTGCATGGGAAACAGCACAGGATTAGATTTCCCAAACACTGCACGCAAGAGGACTCTACAGCTCACGGTTCTTTTACTCACCAAGCAATTAGGTAGTATAAAGACATCAGGTAAATTTAATTATGACGTTGGACACGATATTAGGGCATCTGAACAAGGAAGGTGTACTGCTCGGCTTTGGGAGACACTGGAGGTCAGGCACACTCGGGCAGTCAGAGGAGACAGGTGACTAAGATCCTATCTCTGGCTGAGGATTTAGCTCAGTGGTTTCACCACCTGCTGCGAAAGCACAAGGACCTGAGTTCGATCTCTGGTACCAAAAAAAAAGAAGATTGGATCCCTATGCCCTAAAAACTCACAAGCACATATAAGCAGTTCTACTATAAGGCATGGAGTTAGTTTGATCCCCAGTACCAAAAAAAAAAGACACGGAGTTGAAGTGAACTGGAACACCAGGGTTAAATAGACAGCTGCCAGAACTTTTGTGGGAGATTACAGGGTAGGCCTAGAATCAGGAAAAGTTTTGGTTCTTTTTTTTGAGGCAGAGTCTCACTGTGTAGTTCAGCTGGCCTGGAACTCAGTATGTAGCCCAGGCTGGCCTGGAACTTGCAGTGATCCTGCCTCAGCCTCCCCAGTGCTGGGATCACAGGTGTGTGCCACCACACCAGGTGGGAAAGTTTTGGAAGAAAGGAAGTTGGGGTAAGGTGAAAGAACAAACAAAGAAAATCCACCACGAGGGGCTGGGGATCTAGCTCAGTGGGAGTGTGCTTGCCTAGCATGTGCAGCCCCTGGTTTCAGTCCCAGGACCACACACACACAGGCACACCAAAACTACAGCACAATCTATTGTCGACACAGGACAGTAATTATGTGAAAATGACTAATGGGCCTCACCCAGTGGTGAGGATTTTATTGGATTGAAGAAGATGGAGGAAATAATATCCTCACCAAAACAAGAAGGGATGAGGCAGAAGATATTTGGATCTCGCACATACCTCAAGCCGAATGTATAAAAAATGGAACTTGTGATCTCTCCTCCAAATCCACAGCTATTCTCCTCGTAACTTCAGTGGTCTTGGATATTAGGCTAGAATGTCAGGTAGGCAGTAAAATTAAAGCTAGATGATAGGACTTGGTAGAAGAGGAAAGGGCCTTAAGTTGGTTCTGGAGGTGGACTCTACAAACAAAGCAAAATGCCTAAGATCGCATATAAATGCAGGCTTGGACAGGGAGGTCAAATTCCTGGATTAGGACAGTCGCTGCACTTAGGTGATGCAAAATACTGCTGTCATGGGAGAGGGATGGATTGTGAGTCCCTTTGAAACTGGTAACTGGGGTACTATGGAGTGGGAGAGAGAGACAGGGAGAGAAACCCTAAGCATGTTATACTGGGCCAGGGATTTACCTCAGTGGCATCACACCTGCCTCACAAGCGCAAGGTCCTGAGTTCAATTCCTTATACTGGAAAAAAAAGTTGGAACAATTGAGCAACAAAGTAAGTAACATACTGCTGTACTGGACTATAACACAATGTGCTACAAGATAAATATACACAAATTCAAATCAATAAAAATAAATGGCTGAGCTGGGTGTGGTGGTACACACCTGTAATCAAAGCACTTGAACAGATTGCCTCCAATTCAGGGCCAGCCTGGTCTACATAGCGGGACCCTGTTTAAAAAAAAGAAATGGTTGAATAGAGTATGATGATGGCAGAAAGGCCTTTTCCACATAAGAAATCAGAGATATAAGATGACATAGATGATATAGATAAATTCCTGTCCAGGAAATGGAGTTCAATCATTCCAAACCCCTCACACCTCCAATGTGGGTTAGATTTAGGGGCTTGCTTCCCAAAACCAAAGTATGGAAAGAGAAAAATAGCAAATTTACAGTGGAGAAAACTCACATGCATGACCCTAACCACATAATTGAGATTCGTATCACTAGCTGATATCATGTATCTCCTGTATGATACGAGAAGGATATGGTTGCTACCTCTGCTATTCTCCCCAAAACACATAACCTTCATCTAAGCATAGAGACAACATCACAGCAACTCAAATCTAGGGAAATTTTGCAAAATACCTGCCTAGGAGCTGAGGGTGTAGCTTGGGGGATTAGCTAGGCCCTGGGTTTAATTCCAAGCTCTTAAAAAAAACTCCTAAATATAAAGCGGTGCCCTAGGCTGGATTCTGGACAAAAAGACATTTGTGGACCAGGGATATAGCTCAGTGGTGCTGTCGCCTGCCTCACCAGCGCAAGGTCCTGAGTTCAATCCCCAGTACCAAAACAAAAGACATTCATGGGAAATATGAAATCCAAATGTAGTCTGCAGTTCAGTTAATAGTAAATGTATCAGTGTTAATCTTGGTTTTAACAAGTGCGCCAGAGTTATGTAAGATGTTAGTTAGGGTTCGGTGAGACTAGGGTATATGAGGACTCACTATATTGTCTTTGGCATATACAATTATTCCAAAATAAAAAGTTTATTTAAAATTAAATTTCCTGGGCCGGGAATGTAGCTTAGCAACGCAGCACCTGCCTGGCAAGCATGAGACCCTGAGTTCGATTCCTGGTGCCAAAAAAGAAAAAAGATAAGTTTCCTAACTACAGTAACATAACTGATGGGAAGGGGTAAATGGGATTAAAACATTTTAAGAGCCTTAAGTTATCCATAAAACAATAAAGTTGTTTTGTTTTGATTTTTGAGACAGGGGCTTGATAATGTTGAGCCTGGCCGGGAGCTGGGGTTACAGTTGTGTACCACGACACCTGGCTAAGACAATAGTCAAGACTTTGAGCTAGTGACAGGAGTGCACACTGGTAATCCCAGATCCTTGAGAGGCTGGAGAAAGAGGACCGCCAGTTCCAGGCCATCCTGGGCAGCTTACCAGGATCCTGTCTCAAGAAAGAGGGCTAGCAGGGGCCAGGGATGTGGCTCAGTGGTTCTGCTGCCTGCCCTGCAAGCACAAGGACCCGAGTTCAATCCCTGGTACCAAAGAAAGAGGGCTAGGGAGAGGCGAGCACCAGCCGGGCCACCTGGAGCGCAGTTCTACAAAATGCACACATTTTCTTTATCCTCTTTCTCTCTGTTTCTCTCACCACCTGCAAATGAGTTAGGCAAAACTTGGTACACAGAAAGAGGACCGAGTTCTTGGCAGGGATACCCTCCCTCCAATTATTCAAGGAAACAAAATGAGAATCTGAACCCACTCCACCCACAAGCTATAGTTTATTTTGAGACCGGGTCTTGCTAATTTGTGCAGGCTTGCCTTGAGCTTGTGATCCTTCTGTCTCGGCCTACTGAGGAGCAGAGATTATAGGTGTGGGTCACTGCACCTGGTTGAACCACACATACATGTTTTAAGAACCCCAAACTTGGGCCGGGGATTTAGCTCAGTGGTTTCGCCACCTGCCGCGCAAGTTCAAGGACCCGAGTTTGATCCCTGGTACCAAAAAAAAAAAATTGCAAAAAGAACCCCAAACTATACTTTCAGTCTGGATCTTCTCTAAGAACTCCAGGCTGGCATATAACTAGTACATGCCACATACCCTGTGCCCAGTTTATATAACATCTCATTCTTTATCATTATAATCCTGGTAGTAACTGTAGGGTGTTTCATAACATGGACATACCATATTTATTTAACTACTTCCTTCCTGATGGGCTCTTCAAGAAACTTCTGTTTTGTTTTTTGGTGTTTTGAGTCAGGGTCTCTCTGTAATTCAGGCTGGCCTTGAACTCACTACATAGCCCAGGCTGGCCTCAAATTTGAGACAACCTTCCTGCCTCAGCCTCCCAAGTGCTGGGATTCTAGGTATGTGCCACCATGCCTGGCTTTCAAGAATCTTATTTAGGCTACCTCGGGATCACACCCCAGGCCTTGCTCATGCCAAGCAAGCACCTAGTACTAGGGTATATCCCAGCCCTTTGTTTTATCTTATTTTAGGACAAAGTCTTGCTAAATTGCCCAAGATAGCCTTTAGCTTGTGATCCTCCTGCCTCAGCCTTGAGTAGCTGGGATAACAGGCACGCATCATCGTGTCCATCTACCACGTCTGTCTATTCAGTAGTCCTCTGCATGCATTTGCTACATTAGTGTTCCTATTAGAAAAAATAGAATGCTGGAGTATTTTATTAAATTTGATACAGCATATGGGGCTGGGGATTTAGCTCAGTGGTTCTGCTGCCTGCCTCAAAAGAGCAACAACCCGAGTTCAAACCCCAGTACCAAAACAAAACAACAAAAAAACCCAAATAAATTTGATACATCATAAATGATTCCTTATAATTTTTGGCCTCAAACTCACTACGTAGCCCAGGCAGGCCTCGAGCTAGTGGTGATCCTCCTGCCTCAGCCTCCCAAGTGCTGGGATTACAGGTGTGCACCACCACACCCAGCATGTTGGACCCTGTGTTCAGGTTTATGGTTTGGACCATAGGACCCCATAACTGGGCCTCTAAGGAGTGACCGCCTCCAGAGAAAATGCCCACTGGGCAGGGCAAAGTACTCGGAAGACCTGCCCCTGTGAAACTTTGCCTTCTTCCTCCCCACTTCCAGACAGGCTGTCCAGCCTCATCCTAGAAAAATCGTAAGTGAGCTCTTCCTGAGTTTGTCTTTACAGTAGAGGGGACTTTTTTTTTTTAGTTTTTTAAAATTTGAAGAAGGCCTCATTAAATTGCCCAGGCTGGGCTCAAACTTGGGATCGTGCTGCCTCAGCCTCCTGAGAGACTGGGATCACAGGCGTGCGATGCTCCAGGGTTCCTTGAGCTGAGGGTGAGGGCAGAGCCTCGGGCAGCGGCAGAGGGCAGATGGTGGTATCCGAGCAGGCACAAAGCTGGGCTGCCGAGCTAGGCTTGTCTCATAAGGCTCACTGTGATCTCACGGGGGCCACAACCTTGAGCAGACAGGCCTGTTGTAAGACCGAGGGCCTTACCAAACGCTCCGAGGAGCTGACTGCAGCAAAGAACACCCAGAAAAGAACACACCGGACAAGTTGGAAAGTAAAACAGACCTTTATTAGTCTGGCCAGACGGCACTCCCAAAGCAAAATAGCTTAGAGAGGCAACTGGCTCAGAGTCCGAGGCTGTTCTTATAGGGGGTTGAGGGGGAAGTTAACATATAGAATTAAAGAAAAGGGGACAAAGGTTAATGGTCGACTGTCACGTATTGACGGTCAGCAGACATTTGCAGCTTGTTTTATAGATTGTGGTGTCCGGAACATCAGTTCCGGGCAAACAAGGAGTTGAGTAGTTTACTTTGGGACTTTAGGTCTGTTACAGATTTTTATCTAGTGTCCCAAAACTAACAAGCATCTTTATCCATTAACTCACATTTAATCACAGTGGGGCTGGAGAAAAGGAACAAAGGTTATGCAGTCCCACACTGTGGCTCAGAAGGCCCCAGAAGGCTTGGGTGACGGGCGCTCATTTGGGAGCCTCTTACCCCGCTGCCGCCATATCTCAAATTTCTACTCTCATTCGGTCTCCTTGTTTGTGCGGTTTGTGTGCGGTTTGCTAGGTGTCATGGCAGGAACCGGCCGGCCGCCAAGACAGACTCGGAGGTAGGGGACCAAACTCCCTTGAAACTGCTCGGGTCGCTGCACCCAGAGATGACCGCGCTTTGGCACATGGGAGGACCCGGGTGGGCAGGGCCAGGCCGGGCGGGCCCGGGTGTCCTCCCACGAGTCCCTGTGAGCCCTTTTCCTGCACTTTACTTCCACAAGCTCGAGGGCCTGTTGGGTTGCCAGAGACTGAGGGCGAATAAAGCGCTTCCGGGGGAGTGGGAGAGACGTCGATCAGACAGTTGCTTAGGGAACCCCAGGGAAGAGCGAGTGATAGGAGTCGGAGGCGCCAATACTGCGGGGCGGGGAAGGGGGCGGGAGAGCCAGCAGTCCGACCCCGGTGGGCTCTAAAAGGCCTCTGAGAGAACCCGGGTTTTTTGGGTTTTCTGAGATAGGGTCTCATGGTATGTTCAGGCCGGGCTCAAACTCACAGGGATCCTCCTGCCATGGCCACCCAACTGCTGAGACCACAGGGGTGCAGCACCATGGCCCAATGCCTGGAATTCTTGCATATTGCATTCCAAAAAAGCAGTTTTCTATTGTTTTATAATTTAAAAATTTATACCTGCATGACAAAGAAGGTTTCAGGATGTTAACTGAAAACAACACATTGTTGGTGGAATCCTTATTTCCAATAGGAGAGGAATTGCCTGGCCACTTGGAATCTATGTTTGATTTTATTTGACGATGCCAATTTTCTAGTGATTACACTAGAATTAATTAACACTCCCGTGAGTAGTGTTTGTGCTACATTCTTACCATCTTGCCAATCAGTTTCACTTTAGTCACTGGTGTGTGGTATTGCACTTTGATTTTATGTGTGTTTGTGACTAATAATATTGAGCGTCTTCTCATTGACCATTTGGAAATTCATTCTCTCTCTCTCTCTCTCTGTCTCCAGATAGGGTCTCCCTATAGTCCAGCCTGGCCTTCAACTCACTATGTAGCCCAGGCTGGCCACTGACTCATGGCAATCCTCCTGCCTCAGCCTCCTGAGTGCTGGGACTACAGGGGTGTGCCACCACACTCAGCTGGAAATTCTCTTTTTTTTTTTGGTACCAGGGATTGAACTCGGGTCCTTGTGCTAGTGCAGCAGGCAGCAAAACCACTGAGCTAAATCCCCGGCCCCTGGAAATTCTCTTTGGTGAACTGCCTGTTCAAATCTTTTGTCTTTTTTTTTTCTGGTACCTGGGATCAAACTCAGGACCTTGTGCTTGCCAGGCAGGTTTGGTCCCACTGAGCTACATACCTGGCTCCAAGAATTCTTTAAATATTATGAACAGGTAGCTGGGCATGGTGGCACACGTCTGTAATCCCAGCATTCTGGAGTCTGAGGAAGGAGGATCACTGAGAGTTCAAGGCCAGGCTGGGCTGCATAGTGAGTTCAATCCTGCCTGGAATACATAGCAAGACCCTGTCTCACACACACACACACACACACACACACACACACACACACACACACAAACCCTCAATAAATAACTAAATATTATGAACATGGGTCCTCTGCCATTTAAATATAAATCCTCCCATTCTGTGCCTTCCCTTTCAACTTGATATGATATCTTAACAGAAGTTCTTGATTTTATTTAATTTTTATTTACTTATTTTTGTTTTGTTGAGACAAGGTCTCCCTATGTAGTTCAGGCTGGCCTTGAACTCACAGTGATTCTCTTGCCTCAGCCTCCAGAGTCTGGCATTACAGGTGTGCACCACACGTGGCTTCATTCATTACTCCTGATAAATCAGTTAATGGAAAAATTTCTGAAGGAAAATATATCAAAATTTTAAATCTGATCTCCACTTGCAGGGCCCTCAGCACCTCACCGACCCCAGTCCCTTCCTCCCACACTGTTTATGGAAGGCTTTCCTCACTGGATTGCACTGGTGACCCTGTCCTAAATCAGATAAATATTATCCCTGGTCTATTTCAAGACTGGATGTTTTTCACCTTCATCTGGCCTTAAGCCAAAACCTCACTGTATTTAATGATGTAGCTTTGTAGTGTCTTGAAATTTGCTAATGTATAAGGCTTCCGATTTAGATTGTCTTACAATTGTGTTACTTTATATAAGTGATGGCGAACCTTTTAGAGATGAGGGCCCAAACTGCACCCCAAAACCCACTTGATTTATCTCAAAATGGCAACGTTGCAATTAAACCTGAATACTGAGGTTTTAGTTTAGAAAAAACAACTTCATCCGCTGCTCGGCTGCTGGGGTAATATGGCTCAAGGGGCTCCATGTGCCTGCTGCGGCACGCGTGCCATAGCTTTGCCACTGCTGTTCTCCATCTTTGGTGTTTTCGTGTAATTTTTGAGTCATCTTGTTAATTGTCACATAATTAGCATGCAGGGTGTTGATTGGGATGACATTGAATTTGTAGTTTAGATTGGTAATAACTGACATCCTAAAAATGTCTTCTGATCCATGAATTTGTTTCTCATTTATTTAAACCTTATTTCTCTCAATACTATTCAGCTTGCAATATACAGGGTTTTAAAAAGTTATATAGTAGGGCCAGGGATTTAGCTCAGTGGTTCCGCTGCCTGCCTCACAAGGGGAAGATCCCGAGTTTGGTTCCCAGTACCAAAAAAACCCCCCAAAAACCCAGTTATATAGTAATTTTAAAAATTTTTATAAAGAAAAATTTCAAACAAATCAAAAGTACATAGAAATGTATAATGAATCTAAATGGGCCTGTCACCCTGCTTCAACTCTTACCACATTATTTTGAAGCAAATTTTGGATAATATAAGTTAATTTGTAAATGTTTTAGAAATTATATCTAAAAGATAAGGACTCTTTAAAAATCAGCTGAGTGTAGTGGCACACACTTGTAGTCCCAACTACTTAGGAGGCTGAGGTAGGAGGATTGCTCAAGTCCAGGATTTAAAAGCCAGCCTGGGCAACATATAGCAAGACTGTCTCAAAACAAGGAAGATGGGCCAGGGATTTAGCTCAGTGGTTCCAGCGCTTGCCACGCAAGCGCAAGGTCCCAAGTTTGATCCCCAGTACCCAAAAAATTAAAAAAAAACAAAAACAAGCAAGATGCTTAATCATAATACTATTGTTATTGTTGTTGTTGTTATTGGTTTTTTTGTTTTGTTTTGTTATTGATTTTTTAACAGGGTCTCACTATGTAGTTCAGGCTGGCCTTGAACTCATTATTCAAACTCATAGTGATCCTCCTGCCTCAGCCTCCCAAGTGCTGGAATTACAGGCATGTGCCACCATGCCTGGCAACACAATACCATTATTACATCTAGACATTTAACAATATTTCCTCATAAAATACCAATGAGTATTCAAATTCCAATTGTTTCATAAACGACATGGTATTATTTGGAGTTTGTTTGACTCAGGGTCACATATGGGTGTGTCACTTAAGTCTTTTTTTTTGGTACTGGGGATCGAACTTGGGGCCTTGCACTTTCGAGGCAGGCGGCAGAACCCCTGAACTAAATCCCTGGCCCTTCTTAAGTCTTTTCTAATCCATAGGTCACCCACCTTTATTTCTTTCATTTTTTTCCATTTATGTGTTGAGGAAATGGGTCATTTGTCCTTCGGATTTTTTTAGTCAACATTTTGGTGATCAAATACCTATGTTGTTAGTTGAGGTGCCCTGTTGTTTTTGTGTATTTCCTGTGAGTGCTAAGCTAAGGTTTTGATGGTTGTATCCTCAAATTCATGTTGAAATCTGGTTGCCAAGGTAGCAGTTTTGGGAGGTGGGACTTTAGATGGGTTTAATATCTTTCTTTTTGGGAGGGGGTTGAGACAGGTTCTGGCTATGTAGCCCAGGCTGGCCTCGAACTCACCTCGATCCTCCTGCCTCAGCCTCCTGAATGCTGGGATTACAGGCATGCACCTCCATGCCTGACTAAAGGGGATTAATATTTTTCTTGCTAAACTGGCTAAATCCTCAGAGGTGTGAGTTCTGAGTCTCTCAGGACTGGATTCGCTATCACGGAAGAGGGGCCCTTTTTCTCTTCCATAACACTTACTTGCCTTCTGCTTTCTGCCATGAATTGAAGCTGTCTGAGGACCTCTTCAGAAACTGAGATGTTGACACTGTGCCCTTGGACTCGCAGAAGCATGAACCAAAATAAACTGTTCTGGTTTATTAGTTACCCAGTCAGGTATTCTGTTATAGCAACAGAAAATGAACTAAGACAAAGGGGAAGTTGGACTCATCTAAGACTCATCAGTCTTAGTTTTGAGGGAGGAGGGAGGCAGTATTTTATAATCATCAGGAGGCACATAATATCTGGTTTGGAATAGTGTTTTAAGTGGCATTGAAAAATAACTCTGAAAGTTGGAAATGTGAGAGTTTTTAAAATTGATGTTGTACCTAAAGACCATGCTAAATTTGCTTATCAATTCTGATTATCAGTAGGTTTAAAAAATATTCTATATAATTTTATTATTTGTAATTAACAATAATTTAATTTTTCCTTTTCTAATCTTTATGCCTTTTCTTTTTTGGTACCGGGAATCAAACTCAGGACCTTGCGTTTGCCAGGCAGCCATAGCACCACTGAGCTACATCCTAAGACCTTCCGTCTTTCTTTCATTTTTAAAATTTGTTTGTCTCAGCCATAAAGACAAACTTGAGACATTTATAGCTAAATGGATGCAACTTGAGACTATTCTCTTAAGTGAAATAAACCAGACATATATGTGTAAATATCACATTGTCTCTCTGGTGTGAGAAACTGAAAGGGTAAATAAGGACAAAAATGTATAATAGATATTATGAAATACGAAGAAACTGTTCAAAAGGACAGGAAAACTGTAGGAGGGGGAGAAAAAAATGAGAAAAAAAGGGAAAAAATGGAAACAAAGTTTTTGTAAGTAAAGGGGGGGTGGTTTGAGGAGAAGGGAGGGGATTGGGATAAAAGAGAAATCAAGATATATCAAGTACAGGTGAATGTGATCGTTATGCACATTTAAATTGTACCAGTAAAATTAAATTTAAAAAAGATATATATATATATATATTTTTTTTTGGTACTGGGGATCGAACTCTGGTCCTTCAGCTTGTGAGGCAGGTGGCAGAACCACTGAGCTAAATCCCCGGGCCTAAAAATATTTGTTTTTATTAAACAGTGTCTTGATATGCCTCAACCTTGAGGCAGTCCTCCTGCCTCAGCCTCCCAAGTGCTAGGACTACAGGTGTGTGCCACCACATCTGGCTGGTACCTTGTCTTTTCTTTTCCTTGCCTTATTGCATGGGTAAGACTTCCAGTACAATGTTCAACAGAAGTGGTATAGTGGAGATCCCTATCATTTTTTCTATGTACTTGAATTTTTAAATAATTCACCATTATGTATAATGTTTGCTACATATGTGGTTTTTAAAACATTCTTTATTACATTGAGGAAGTTACTTTCTATTTTGCTAAGAATTTTAGCATGTATGGATATTTGATTTTTCACTTTGCTTTTTCTTCCTTTTTCAATTTTTAAGTTATATCTCTTTTTATATTGGCATTAAAGTTTATTAACTTTAATGTTTTTCCTGCCTCTGTTGAGATGGTCATATGGTTTTCCTTGTTTGTTCTATCAATATGCAGAATTATACTGAGATTTAAAAATAATAAACTAACTGTGAATTCCTAGAATAAATATAACATACTCATGATGTTCATGATTTTTAAAATATATATCACTAAATTTAGTTTGCTATTTTATTTGGGATTTTGTGTCTATGTCCATGAAAGAGATGGACCTGTTATTTTCCTTTCTGGTAATGTCTTTACCAGATTTCAGAATCAAGGTTATCCCAGCCTCTAAAGAGGAAGCTGAAACTACCGTTCTTGGGCTGGAGATTTAGCTCAGTGGTGCCGCTGCCTGCCTCATAAGCACAAGGTCCTGAAAAAAAAAGAAAAGCCAACCCTCTTTCATCTCATTAGCATAAGAGACCCCCCAACGTTCGTGAAATCCCAAGGTGTTCTGAAGCTCTGTACTAGGAACCTGGAACAAAGGCCACATTATTTTTCATGATAGCACACGTAAACACACAGACACACATGCGTGAGGAGAGTTTCATTTCTACAAGCAATATTTGCCTTTTTTTTCAAATCTGCAAAATCACTTTTTGTAGTTTTCTGTTCCTGAAAAATATAGTTAGGTTTGCATTTTATTCTTTAAATATGTATAGTTATTTTCTGATGGGCGAGGTGGTACATGCCTGTAATCCCACCACTTAGGAGGCTGAGGCAGGAGGACCTTGGTGAGTTCGAAGCCAGCCTGAAATGCATAGGGAGACCCTGCCCCCTCCCCCCAAAAATATATATGTATATAGTTATTTTCTAACCTAGGTCTGATAATTTTAATACCTGATGTCTTTATAGGATTATTTCTGCTTTCTGTTGTTTCTGTTCAGGTGCTTATTTTTTAATAGTTAACATTTCTGGGGCCAGGGATTTAGCTCAGTGGTGCCAGTGCCTGCCTAGCAAGCACAAAGATCTGAGTTCGATCCCTGATACCAAAAAAACCCAAAAAACTTTTGGACTGGGGACTTAGCTAAGTGGTTCCGGTGCCTGCCTTGTAAGCACAAGGTCCTGAGTTCAATCCCCGGTACCAAAAGAGAAAATTTTTTTGACAAAGGTTTTACTATGTAGCCCCGGCTGGTCTTGAACTTGCTATATAGCCTAGACTGGGCAGTACTTTGTTTTTGTTTTTTGAGACAAAGTCTCACTATGTAGTTCAGGCTGGCATTGAACTCACTGTGTATCAGTGGCTGGCCTCAAACTCACAGCCATCCTCCTGCCTCAGGCTCCCAAGTGCTAGGATCACAGGCGTGCACCACCATGCCTGGCTTTCTGTTACAGCTTTTACCATGTGGTGATTTAACTTAACCTGTTTAGACAACTGTCCCTTACTAGTGTAAGTTCCTATAGTACAGGGATCACACTAATCTTTGTAGTCTCAGCACCATACAAAATACCTAGAATTTAGTACTCAACAAATGATTCATAAATTAACGAATGTGAGGTAATTAATGCCATAGTTCTAGATGCCAGCTGTGTCACTCTCTGTTCTCTGTGAGGTGTGCTGTTCATAAGTCGCTAATCTAGAACCTAACTCTGACAGTTAATTGTGATCGTCACCTTGACTGGCTTGAGAAGACGCCTAGATTAGGAAAATGCACTGGTGCCTGTGTCTGGTGGTTGTGTGGTGTGGCCTTGGGGACTCTACTGGCCCCTGGCCCTCCTTGGCTCTTCCTTGCTTGCTCTGCTTCCTGGCTGCCTTGAGGTGAGCAGCTTCCTTGGCCCTTGTGCCATGATGTTTCTGCCTCCAATTCAGCCATCATGGACTGACTCTGAAACTGTGAGCCAAATGAAACTCCTCCTTTAAGTTGTGTGAATCGAGTAGTTTGTCCCTGCAATATAAAGCTGACTAATACAATAACCTGATTTTATTTTTTCTTTTTGTGTTTCTCTAGACTTCAAAGGAACAGAAGCTGAAAAAGATCTGGAAACGCACAGGTCAGAACAATCTTATCCTTAACTCTGCAGCTCAAGGCTAATGGCTGATCAGCTGTCCTTCTGCTTCAAAATTCTAGCCTTAAACAGCAGGTGGAGGGAGGTTGAAAAAGACGGTGTAAATGGAAGAAATATGCCTATTCTTTGTTTTGTTTTTGAGACAGGATCTCACTATGTAGCCTAGGCTAGGCTTGAACTCACTATGTAGTCCAGGCTGGCTTTGAACTTGAGGCAATCCTCCTGCCTCAGCCTCCGGAGTGCTGGGACCACAGGCATGTACCACTATGCCCAGCATGCCTGTTCTTTCTAGCATCTGTACTTCCAAAGAGATGTTTCCATGGTTCTTTTACTCATGCTTTTTTTCCCTCAATTTTTATGCAAAGATCAAAGGAAAGGAAAGAATTATGGCAAGATAGGAAAACAGACAAAGATTAACTACTATGAGTTCATTAAGGGAAGCTTCAGTGTCTTTCCTTCCCTACCATAGATGTCAGAAGGAAAAGAAGGATCAGGACCTCTGTTTTCCCCACTCCAACTCATTTCCATGATCATTCCTGCTCTACACAAGGCTGCCATCTACTACATGCTGAAGGCAGCATAGTATTAATTATTTTTTTAAACTTGAAACCTGAGCTCTACCACTAATTAGCTTCATGATTTCATTGTTGTTTCCTCATGTGCAAAGTTAGAAGGCTGTGCTGGATGAGCCCAGTGGTCAATGCTAATAGATTCTTCATCCCAATTCCCAGTTTCAGAGTCAGAAGAAAACTTCAAGATGGAATGGAGCAAAGATAACCTGTCACGGTCAGTAAAGTCTGTCTTCAGCCTGTCCTATGTAAACCATCCTAACTGTAAAAGTTAGGAGTAAAATACTTGGTCCTCTTCTCTCCTTATGACATGGTCTCTTTTCCAAGTTAAATCTCTCTCCTTATGGTTTGCTTACTGATACTCTGATATCACTTAAATTACACTGACACATTCTGTTGCATCCAGTATTTCAGAACTCCCTGCGGGCTGGACCCAGGAATGTATGCTCCAGTCAATGGGCAGGAGTCTTCAACAGATCTTCCAACACGTGGAGAGTGCAAGGTCAGAGAACATCGTTTCTAGGTGGAGGACAAGGTTGTAGAGCATTTAAGAGGGAGAAAGGGGAGAGTAAAGGAGGGAAGCAAAGGGGGAAAAGACAATTTTTTTTCTGGTATTGGGGATTGAACTGAGAACCTTTGCACTAGGGTAGGTACATCCCCAGCCTTTAAAAATTGTTTTTCTAGGGCTGGGGATTTAGCTCAGTGGTGCTGCTGTCTGCTTCACAAGCACAAGGTCCCTGAGTTCGATGCTTGGTACCAAAAAAAATTTTTTTTTTCTTTTTTTGGTGCCAGAAATCAAACTCAGGGCCTTGCCCTTGCCAGGCAGGCGCTGCACCCTGAGCTACATCCCTGCCCCCTAAAATTTTTAATTAATTACTTTATTTTTTGTTTTGTTCAGTTTTGTTTTTGTTTCTGTTTTCTGAGACAGGATCCCACTATATAGTTCAGGCTGGCCTTGAACTCACTGTGGAGCCTGGGCTGGCCTGGAACTTGAGGCAATCCTCCTGCCTCAGCCCTCTAAGTGCTGAGATAACAGGCCTGCCTCACCCCAGCTCTAAGGTTGTTATTTTGAAGCAGGATCTCACTAAATCACTAAATTGCCCAAAGCTAAGCGGGAACTTGGAATTCTCTGGCCTCAGCTTCCCAGAGTGCTTCCATTACAGGTGTGGGCCACCACTCCCAGCTGAAGGTAGCAGCAGGAAAAGTCCTGGGTTCAACTTGGGTGAAGTATTATTTCAGGAATAGTTGCCTACCTTTGCCCAGTGGAGGAATTTTTGGGACCCCTCCCTACCTCCTGGGAACCTGGGATCAAACTCAGGACCTTGCACTTGGGAGTCAGGTATGGCACCACAGAGTCAAATCCCCAGCCCTGCATTATTATTTGACGTTGGGGGAAGTAACTTTTTTTTTCTTTTCCAACTCTCCCTCAGGCCAAAAATATTTTGCATTTGAAAGGGACACTCTCTTTCCATTTCCTCCCCCACTTTTCTGGCTCCAAAGCAAGTAAAACCTTTTTCTCTTTATTTCTTAGATTAAGTCTTATGGAATTGGATTTGCCAGAATCAAAGGATGTGACTTCTTCCAACACCTCTCTTCTTAAGGCTCAGGAGGCTGTTCCACCCTGTTGTGTCTGTGAGCAGGCAACATATTCCACTGATCACAGCACCTCCTCTGGATCATCAAGAAACAGCTCCAGCCTCTCTTACCTTCCTGCCTTTATTGAAGGGACAACTTGGCAATTTTGGAGTGATTGTTTGCCTGTTTCCCACAGAAAGCAACCATCTGTGTTCAGGAACCAAGGCACATCACTGCCTCAGGGTCTGAGAAACCAGAACATATTCAGTATTTGGAAGCTCTTTCACACTTACCACCACCTAACTCTTCTGTTGACTCTGTTTGAACCCCCAAATGTTTGCAAACAAGAAGAGAAAACAAAAAATAAGAGAAGGAGCAGGAATCATTTGTTATTAGATTATGGGCCAAATTCTGTTTTGAGTGAAAGACCACGACTTCCAGGGTGGGCCCTGGCCCGGCTGTCTCCTTTGGCTAGAGGGGAGCTAGACGGACATTTGTCTTCAAATGTTTCTAGTTCTGTGCAGAAATCATGGGCAATGATAAAACATCTTAGTACAGAGCAAAGTGTTGTAGATCTTCCAGAAGAAAGAATTCAGCAGCCTAGTACACAAGTGACTAATATGGAGCTGACCCCAAGGCTTCCTTATAAAGTCAAAGATAACATAAAGATAACTCCATTGGCATTACTTCAGGTCATGGCTTCAATGATGATGATCCCACAATCACATTTAGAAGTGACAAAATCTGTGACTTTGTTCCCACATGCACCAAATCAAGCTGTAAAGCCAATGGCAGTCATGGAAACAATGCATGTAACTCCTAAACCACCAAATCAAATAACTGAATCAGTGGAAGTGACTCCAAAGACTCAGCAACAAGTTGTAGAATGAAACAGGATGGCCTCAAGACTAAATAAAGTCATAGATAATGTGAAGATAACTCCTGCAGCATTGCTTCAAGTCATGGATTCTAAAAGAATGATTAATGAATCATATCCATGTAACACAGACCCACTAGGAATGACCCCAAGGCCACAATATCAAGCCACAGAGTCTGTGGAGATTAATTCATTGTTGGATCAGCAAGCTATTAGACCAGGAAAGATGAGTCCAATGCCACAACACACAGTCATGGAAACTGTGGAAATGGCCCCAGGGCCAAAGCACAAAGTCATGGAATCAGTGAGTACAACGTCAGTATCACAAAGTCAATCCATGGAACAAGTAAAGATTGCTTTACACCTAATACATCAAAACACAGAATCACTGGAAATGATCTCAATACCATTACATCAGGTCATTGATTACATGAAAGTAACTCCAGTGGCACTATTACAAACCATAAGTTTCATGGAGATTCCATCAGCACAGTCACATGATATAGAATCTGGGGGTTTGATCTCAGGTTCACAGTCTCAAATTGCAAATTTGACCCCAAGGCCAACTCAGACAGATGGTTTGATGACTTCTATCTCTTCTACTGCTATTGCTCCACAGTTACCATGTGCAAATCATTCTGAGTTGACCAGGGGGCAACCGTCACAAGGTATGAAATACTCTGAATTGATCCAAGAGCCAGAGCTGGAAGATATAAAACCTGGGGAGCATATCCCAGTCTCAAGGCTTCAAGGTTTAAAATCTGGGAAGCTGATCTCAGAACCACAGCCAGAAGATATGACATCTGTGGAGCTAACCCTAAGGACACATTTGGGAGGTAGGAAATCTATGAAGTTAACACCAAAGCCAGAGCCAGGAGAAGTCAAATCTATGGTGTTAAGTCCAGGGCCACAGACAAGAGGCATAAAAGCTGGGGATCTGGCCCCAGGTTCAGGGCCTCAAGGTTTACAATCTGAGTTGATGCCTTTAGGATCACAGTTGAAAGATAAGAAATCTGTGTTCTTAACTCCAGGACCAAGTCTAGAAGGTATGAAATCTATGGAGTTAACCTCAAGTCCCCAGCTACAAGGTTTAAAATCTGTGGAGGTGACTCCAGGTTCAAGAATTCAAGATTTGAAAACTGAAGAGTTAGTCTCAGGTACAAAGATTCAAGATACGAAAGTTACTGAATTGAAACTTGGGCCAAAGATGCAAGGTGGGGATTCTGTGGCTTTTCCACCAGATCCATTGGTTCAAGTTGTTAAGTCCAAGGAGGTTCTTCAAAGGTCTGAACTGCAGAGTATGAAACCTGAGGAACTCATTTCAGAGCCACAAACGCAAGATATGAAACTTGTGACTGTTACTCCATTAATTGAGCTGCAAAATTTAAAATCTGTAAAGGATACTCCAGATTCACAGCTGCAATGTGAAAAATCTGTGAAATTGGACCTAAGGCTAAAGAGTCAGGAGACAAAATCTGTGAATGTAACCAGAAGACAAGGGTTTCAAGAAGTAAAATCTGTGGATTTAGACCCAAAGCAACGCTTTCAAGGGGTGACACCAGTGAGTTTAACTCTTGATCCTGGACAGGATGGCCAGGTATTTGTAAACTTACCAGGATGGAAACGTGAATATAGAACAACTGAAGAAAGGATTTGAGTCAGACAGTATAATGTCTTTGGAGTTCATTCCAGAGCCCAAATCAAAAGATATAAAATCTGTACAACTCAATTCCAAAATACAGTTGAAAAATATGAAACCATTTGAATTCGCTCCAGGACCAGATATTCAAGATGTAAGAGCTAAAGCATTCAAATATGGACCACAGTTGCAAAGTAGGAAATCTCCCAAGTTGACCCCAGGACCACAGCTTCAAGACATGAAAACTATGAAGTTAAACAAAGAGCCACAGATCAGAAGTATGAAAACTATTCAGTGGATGTCAAGGGCTGAGTTCCAAGGAGTGACCTCTGTAGGGCTAAATGTTGGATCAAAATCTCAAGGTTTTATATCTGAAAAAGTGAAATCTTCCATACAGTCTGGAGATGTGAAGTCATCTGAATTGACTTTAGGACCTAAACTTCCAGGAGCAAAATCTACAAAGTTTAATCCTAAGTCACAGTTAGAGTGTGTGAAAACCCCTGAATTGCTCCCAGGACAGTGGCTACAAAACAGGAAAACTTTTGCATCAACCTCAGAGCCACACCTTGAAGGTGTGGAAACTGTGGAATTAAACAAAGAGCCACAGCTTGGAAACAGGAAATCTCTACAGTGGATACCAGGACCTGAGTTCCAAGGTGTGAAATCTACAGCATTAAATCTGAAGACACAATCTCAATGTGTCAAACCTACAGGGTTTAAATCTTTCATACAGCTGGGAAGTGTGAAGTCATCTGAATTGACTCTAGGGCCAAAAAATCAAGGTAAAAAATCTATGAAATTCGACCTTGGGCCACAGAAACAGTGTGGGAAAACCTCCAAGTTGTTCCTAGGGTCCAAGCTACAAAAAGGGAAAAAATTTGGGTCAACCTCAGAGCCACAGCTTCAAGAAAGGAAATCTGCAGAGATCTACCCAGGGCCACAGCTTGGAAGTATGAAGACTATTGAGTGGATACCAGGACCACAGTTCCAAGTTATAAAATCCGCGCCACAATCTCAAGGTGTCACAGCTGTAGAGTTGAAACCTTCAGAACAACTGAGAGATGTGAAGACATCTGAATTGTCTCCAAGGTCAAAGCGCCAATGTATACAATCTCTGGCATCACTCCAGGAATATCAGCTTCACGGGGGTTCAAACCCACTGATTTGAAATCTGGGCCAGAGTTCAGAAGTATGAAATCCTATGACCCAACTTCAAGGCCAAAGCTCTGTGATGTAATATCCATGGTATTCAACCCACAGCTTCATTTGCAAAATGTGAAATCACTGGAGTTGACCCCACGACTACAGCTACAAGTGAAACTCTTAGAGTCATCCCCAGATACAGAGCTTCAGGGTATGTTTATGCAAGAGCCACAGCTTCAAGGAGTGAAACCGAGCATTTTAAGCCAAGCACCACAATTACAAAATGATAAAATTGTAGAGTTCAACTCTCTACTACACTTGAAAAGTATGAAATCACCTGAATTGGCTCTTCAGACAAAGCCTCAAGGTATGAACTCTGAGGAGTTCAACTCTGGGCCCCAGTGGCAAAGTACAAAATGTTCTAACTTGAGACCTGAGACAAAGTTCCAATATAAAAAATGTATTCAGTTAAGCCCCAGCTCACAGTCAAAAGGTACACCATTTTCTGATTTGACCATGGAAAACAAGATTCAAGGTGTCAAGTCTACAGACTTCAAAACTCAGTCACAGTTTGAAGGTGTAAAATCTTCTGAGTCAACATGTAGGACAAAGCTTCAAGAAACAAAACTGATGGAATTCAACTCAGGTCCACAGTTGCAAGATGTGAAATCTTCTAGGTTGATCATGGGTATAAAGCTTCAAGATACAAAATCTATGGATTTCAGTTCTGAACCACACTTACAAGGTGTGAAATATGTAGAAATGAAATCTAGTCCAAAGTTAACAGGAGAGAAATCTGATTTGATCCTGGGGAAGGAGTTTCCAGGTATGAAATCTGGACAACACTTTAAAAGTATAAAAGCTTTTGAAGTGGCACCAGGGACAAAACTTCAAGATTTCAACTTTGGACCACAAATTCAAAGCCAAAAATCTGAGTTGGTTCAAGGGACAAAGCTTCAAGATGTGAAATCTGTAGAATTCAACCATGGTCCAAAGTTACAAGATGCAACATCGGCTTTAATACCAAAGACAAAGCTTGAAAGTGGGGAATCTGCAGAATTCAACTCAGACCCCCAGTTGCAAGATGTGAAATATTCTAAGCTAATCCCAGAGACAAAGTTTAAATATATAAAATCTATAGAGTTTGGTTCTAGACTATACTTTCAGGGTGTGAAATCTCACATAATCCCAGAAACAAAACTTCAAAAAGAGAAATTTGTGGGAGTTATGCCTCAGTTACTACAGCAAGATGTGAAATCTTTTGAGGTGACTCTAAGTAAGATACAAGATAGAAAATCTTTGAGGTCCAAGTCTGCTCCACCATTTCAAAACAGGAAATTTTCTATGTTGATACCACAAATATATGATGAAAGTATGCAATCTGTAGAATTCAACCCAGGCATCAAGTTCCAAGGTGTGAAATGTGAGTCTATAAACCATCCAACAGTGAACTATACAGGGGTCAGTGATGGCTCTGAAAAGTCTTCCAAGTTGAAACCTACGACAGAGTTTTAAGATATAAAATCTAAGGTCCGCTGCCTTGGACCACATTTGCAAGGTATAAACTCTTCTGCATCCATTCCAGGACTAAAACCTCAATGTGTAAATTCTACTGGGTGCAACCCTGAGCCACACTTGAAGGGTGTGGATTCTTCTGCATGCACTCCAGGGCCAAAACTTCAGTGTATGAATTCTACTGGGTGCAACTCTGAGCCACATTTGCAAGGTGTGAATTCTTCTGCATGCATTCCAGGTCCAAAACCTCAGTGTGTAAATTCTACTGGGTGCAACCCTGGACCACATTTACAAGGTGTGAATTCCTCTGCATCTTCTTCAGAGTTAAAACCTTAGTGTGTAAAGTGTACTGGGTGCAACCCTGGGCCACATTTGCAGTGTGTGAAACCTTCTGGATTAACTCCAGCTTCAAAACTTCAAGAAATGAAATCTTGTAAGCTGAATTCAAGAACAAAATTCAAAGCAATACATCTATAATGGTCAACTCTGGACCACACTTGCAAGGTATGAAATCTTCTGAGTTAACCCCAGGGACAAAGTTTCAAGGGGTCCAATTTTCAGAGAGCCAGCTTCAGTGGAAGCAGCAAGTTGTACAACCTGTGTTCACTTTAGGGCCTCCATTAAATGGTGTGAAATCTGTGGTAGTTTTACCAGATCCACTGCTTAAAGATGTAAAGTGTGAGGGGATGAGCAGCCCGTCATTACTTTCTGCTGCAGACTCTGTAAAACTGATTTCAGGCTCTGAAGTGCAGGATTTAAAATGTGAGATGTTTGCACCAGAGTTAAATTTTCAAAATTTGCAATCTGTGGAGCTGAGGACAGGATCCCAACAGCAAGATATAAATAGCCAAGAGTTGAATGTAGGATGGCAAGGTGTGACATCAGTAGTGTTGGGACCAGAGCCAACTAGAAATCTCCTACCAGGACCAGCACTAAGTAGTGTCAAATTTTCAAATTTGTTTCCAGAAACACAGCAACAAGGTATAAATTCTTTGGAGTTTACTTCAGAGCCAAAGTTCCAAAGCATAAAACATGTGGAATTATCTTCATTACCTCTATAGCAAGTTGCCACATCTGTGGAGTTAGCACCAAGGCCACTGCCTCAAAAAGTGCAATTTGCAAATCAATCTCTGAGAACAAGTTCTCAAAATACAGAATCCTCTGAAATAATTCCTAGAACAGGGCATCACTTTGTAGAATATAAAGAGATGACCCCCAAACCAAGGCACCAAGTCCCTGAATATGTGAATTTGATTTCAATACCAATATATCAAGCCACAGAATCTTCGGAAATGACAGAAGGGTTGGCAGATAAAGGCCCAGAAAGTATAGAGAAATCTGTGGGGCTGACCCCAAAGCCAACAGGCAAACCCATGGAATCTGCAAGGATGCCGCTGCAATTAGATCTTCAAGTACCAGAATTTGTTGATCTGACTTCAGTGCTAAGTGATCAAGGGTCAAAATCAGAATCAATCACAAGAAAAAACCACAAAACTCCAGCAACACTGGAATTGTTCTCTCAATTATGGCCCCAACTGAAAGATTTGGGGGGGGGGGTTATACATAAAGCCACTGTAGCAAGTTACAGAATCTGAAGAGAAGGCCCCAGAGCACAAACATCATGTTACAGAAGGTACAAGGTTTACCTGTGATGCAAAGCTGTAAGAGAAGGAATTTCTTGGAATGACCTCAGAGCCAGTAAGTCAAGCCACTGGATATACAGAGAAATATCCAAAGCTCTGTCCTCAAGCCATAGAATCCATGGGAATAATTTCTGAGAAAAGATTGCAAAAGGAAGAATCTATAATACTGATACCAAAGCCATTATATCATTTCCCAGACTCTGCTTCAGGAATGACACCAGGGCTAGGCCCTCAAGTTCCTGGATGTGTAGGGTTGACTTCTCAGGAACCTATGGAATTGACTCCAAAGTCACAAGATTATGAGAGAGCTTCAGGAAAAACTTTAAGGTTAGGATATCAAGTGCCAGAATCTGTAAGTTTGACCTTTAACCAATGGCTGCAGATAGAAGAATCTTTCAAGTTGCCCCCAAAACAAAAAAGTCAAAGTGTGAAGACAGAATCTGCCATAGGATCAGGGATTGAAGTAACAGATTGTTTAGGTTTATATCCAAAATCTTCAAATTCTTCTTTATAATCAAATCTTCAAGAATTGGTAAAGCCTGTAGAATTAACCCCAACTCCAAATATTCAAGTAAAATTTGCAGAATTACCCTCACAACAAACATTTTCATTTGAGGAACCTAGAGTAGTGACTCCTGAGCAAAGGCTTCAGCTTGTAAAATCCATAGGGATAACAAAAGAACCTCCTAAGGTCATGAAATATGAGGATTTGAATCAAGAACAGGTGTACCAGAATGAGGACTCTGAGGAATTAACATCAGGAGAAGAGTTACAAATTAAGAATTATTTCTCTAGATTCCCTCACAACCCTTCAACCCCATTCCAAGTTCTGTTAAAACATATGAATTAGGAGAACTTCAGGATTCTGAGATGTCAAAAGAATTGAGAGCTATGGATATGAAAACCTTTGGAACAGATATTTTGCAACATCAAGAGTCCTACATAGACCCTTTTATGATACACTCTTCAGCCCTTCCCTTGGCTCTTCATACTCAACCCTCTGATAAGACAATGAACACTGTGGAAACCTCACATCCTGAGATCCCGGGAGTGGCTATTGTATCTAAGGAAAGAACTACAAGGAAGCAGATGGAGGAATTAAGAGGACTCACTGCAGAAGTATTTCCAACATCCACTGCAAAGCTGGAGATCACCACCTGGGACCTCTCAGGCAGGATTAGGGCCTCAAAGAAGCCCTATTCAATCTTTCTTGGGGAGACAATAGAATGTCTGGGAGAGACATGCCGACAGGCAGAGACTACCTAGAAAATATCTCTCCACTATGCTAATGCTGGGGAATGTCTTAGGGACCACTATAGAAAGGAACCTTTGTTCTTGAACATGTTTAGCAAAAAGAGCCACTGAAGATGTCTGTCAATGTGTTCAGAATTTATTTGGGGTTCCAGCTGAACTGATGGAATTTTCCAAGACCCTGCCAGAGAAGGGTCCAGATACTGTTTCAAAGCCTCCAGTTTTCAAAAACTACATTCAGAGGCATGCTTTATGCCATGGTTATGAAACAAAGAAAGGGGTTAAGGGTGTGGACACGTGGCTTCACATCTTGCATAATATATCAATACTCTGGGACCAGACTGAGAATAAAGAAAAGAAACTCAAAGCTCTGTGATAAGTCCCAGGAAGCCACTGAGTACATGCCAGTTTCATGTGTAGGGGGCCAGCTTCCTATCCAAGTAGAGTCAGAAACTTCCCATGGGATATTTCACAATAAGGAAGATGAATCACTCTCTGATTCAGAGACAGTGACTTTTGGGCCCCTTTACTTCCAAAGACCAAGTTATTCTCAGGCCAAGAATGACTCCTCAGAACAGTTCCGCCTACTACAAGATCTGGAGCAAAAAGTTGCAGCGAAACTCATAAGGAGTCAAATACATCCTAATGTGCCTCCACCTCTAACTTCAGGTCTTGTCTTAAAATATCCCTTCTGCCTACAGTGTGGCCGATGTTCAGAATTTACTTGCAATCATAAATTACAACTACTCCTGCATCTTATCTTCTTATCTATTCACAGCTCCACCTTGTGAGGACTCCTGAAGGCCATGGTAAGGTTTGGGTGCATCTTGGCTTTAGGTTGCGAACTGAGAAAAGACCTCAAGTCTCAAAGTATCAAGGAAGAGACAGACACACCATACCAAGAAGTCCTATATCACCATCACAAAAGAAAGCTAAAATCTATTCTCCAGCTTCCAAGAGTGTTGGTCCCACAGTAGATTTTCAGTCTGGATCTTCCCACTCTCCTGATCCTTCCCAAGTCCACATCAGGAGAAAGCAATGGAGCAATCTTGAATCAGTCAGCAAGACAGAAATTGGAGCGTCTGAGCACCATGAGTTCCCTAAAGTTCACTCCCTGTCAGAGAGTGATTCTGAAAGCAATCACAATGAGAAATGCACTAAAGTGAGAACAAAAGAGACCTCTGATTCAAAAGATCCAATGAAAAGAATCACAAAGGGATTTAGATCACAAAACACAATACAAAGTACTTCTAGGGAATTACCAGCCCCTTTAAGGAGGAAGAGGATTGGAGCATCTCAGACAAGTACTGCTTCTTTAAAAAGACAACCTAAGAAATCCTCGGATCTCAAGTTCATGGAACTGCTTTTTCAAGGCCTAAAGGAAGTATTCCAAACAGCACACAGTATTATGCCTTTTGTCGGACAGAAGAAGCCTGAAGATAGGACAAAGCTAGAAAATTTGTCATCAAGTAAAAACTACAATTTACAACAAAAATCTAAGGACTACAAGAGGATGCCAATTGTCATGCAAAGGCCAACAAATCCAATCACTAATCAGGAGGACATATTTTGGGGAGGGCCAGACCAATGCAGATTAGCTCATCAGCCAAAAAGAGCTAGCTCTTCCCATCCCAGACCTTGACAACTGCCCAAGCTCACAGCTTCCCAAAGAGGAATTACTTTCCACACTACCTCAGTCATGCAGCCTTTGGGTACAATTCAAAATGTCAGTAGCAGCAGCACAAAGAAAAACTTCCACAGAGATGAAATCTCTAGCCAAGAGTCTGAGAACTTGCCCACACCAGGAACCAGATTTCAGGCTCAACCGAGAAATCTGCCTGGTGCCCTTCGGAAGAGAACCTCCAAGAGTCATCTCAAAGAGAAGCACACACACAAGGTGCAAAAGCACCACAGCTCCTCCAGGGACAGAACCCGACAAAAATCCCTCTGAGAGGAGCCAGTGCGCACCCTCTCAGGGACACCATCAAAGTCTCTCTGAGAAAACTCTCCGCAGTCCCTTGGAGGGAAGTCGTCCCAGTTCCTCAGAGAGGTGACGCCGCACGCCCTCGGAGAGGAGACTTCGCAGTCCCTCACAGAGGAGAGGTCACAGTCCCTCGGAGAGGAGAGGTCACAGTGGCTCAGAGAGGAGCCGTTGCAGTGCCTCAGAGAGAAGCCACGGCTCCTCTGGGACAACCACCACTCACCATCTGTCTGGGAGGAAAGGCCATAGTTCTGGGACAACCCGTCGCAGTCCCTCGGAGAGAACGCATCCCAGTACCGCTGAGAGAACCCAGCCACTCGGAGAGGAGCCAACGCAGTCGCGCTGAGAAAACTCATCACAACCCCCCTGAGGAGAGGCTCAAAGACAGTTCCCCTAAGGAGAGGCCCAGACATAGTCTGCCTAAAGAGTTCAAGAGTTACTCAAACGTGTCTCCTAGGGACACCACTGAAAAATTCAAAAGCAGGGCAGATTACAGATGTCTCCCTCAACCCTTTATCTAGCTCTCCTTTCCTAGCTTTTTTCCTCCACAGCCATTGCCTTCAATTCCCGCCTCGACAATGAAAGAACCTTGACACCTCTTTACCTGTGGGGAGGGGAGCGAGCATGAGTCTGTAATTTTTTTTTTTTTTTTTTTTTTTGGTACCGGGGATGGAACTCGGGTCCTTGCGCTTGCGCAGCAGGTGGCGAAACCATTGAGTTAAATCCCCGGCCCTGTAATTTCTAATATCAATAAAGGGAATAATTGATCTCCGTGTGCATCTACAAGACCACCTGCGGGGGGGGGGGTGAAGGGAGGGACACAGGGCCCGGGTTCTCGGGCGGCGTCTCCACCCACCGCCCCTTCGCTCCGCCTCTCGCTCTCCGGGTCTCCAGGGTCCCACGGCGCAATGGGAGGCGGGATCTCCGCGGACGCCGAGTGAGTCGTTACGTGACCGCTTCCCTCCGCAGCCCCCTTGGAAGCCGCTAGGCGGAAGTAAACGTTCAGACCCGGGCTAGGCGGCCCTGAGTCCACATCCGGGAGAGCAGAGAGAGCGGAAGTGGCGTTGGTCTGGACGGAGCCCTTGGGTGAAATTGTTAGGCGTGGAGAGGGAGTGATGTCTTCCAGACTCGGTGCAGTCCCCGCCGTGAGTTTCTTGGCGTGACCGTTATGCTTTAGAGGTAGCGCTGTGGAGCCGGGAACACGCAGCTCCTCGCTTTTGTCCCTTGCTCAGAGTTGGTTTTATTAGACCCCGTCGTAGGCCCCACCCTTTTAGGTCATATCCACCTGTCCCCTTTTCCCCCACTTTTTTCCCCTGTTCCCCACCTTCTTAGACTCACTTCTTGGCGGATTGCGAAGAGTTTCGGTTCCTTTTACGTCCTCAAATGCCCCCCGTATCCGTTTTCTTTTTTTCTCCCTTTTAGAGCCTCCCTGGGGCTGGATTTTGAGAATGGGGGAAGATCGCAGGCTCTGGTATTGTCTTTACCTTTTAGGAAAGTAGGACGGCATACTTTTCCTCAGAAGTGTTGCCTTCCATTTGAGATAGTCGCCCCGGGAGAGCTTCGTTTCTTCCCGGCGCAAGGGGGATTCGTCTCTTTGTGGTCGACGATCAGATACCCTAGCACTCACTCGTATGCTTGTGATTTGCTAGACCCCGGGACCCACATCCTTTAAGCAGCAGAGGAGCGCCAGAATCGTGGGAGCAAAGAAGTAAGTGAGGTTTTTGGGGTCTTTCTATGATTGTGTCTCCAGCTCTGTCCGTAGAACTGATGAAAATGTTCTGCATCCGCACTGTCCGGTGTCAGAGCCATCAGCCACCTATGGCTTTTTGGGCTTTAGACACTTGAAATGTGGCTGGTGCAACTGAGGAACTGAATTTTAAATTTTACTTAATTTTAATTGATTTAAATTGAAGTAGTCACCTGTAGCTAATGGCTACTGGATTGGACCGTGGCAGGTCTAAACCTCGTGTTGGGGAGGAATCCCTGGCTTAAAACAAAACAAAACAAAAAAGGAACGTTTGACTCGGTGGTAGTCCAGGATTTCTCCACACATAGATTTGTGCTCATAAATACAGTGATGAGCTTTGGAAGGAAGATGAAAATGGTTGTAAGAGATCCTTTTATTTTCAAAGTATTGGGCCGCAGGACTGGTTTTTTGTTGTTTTTTTTTTCTTACCGGGGATTGAACTCAGGTCCTTGCGCTTGCACAGCAGGCGGCAGAACCACTGAGCTAAATCCCCGGCCCCAAGGACTGGTTTATTTTGTGTACTGAATGTGTTGTATTTTTCCATGGTTAAAACAAAAGAAAATATTCTCATGAACTAGAAACTCATTAGGTGATTCTTTCATTCAGATAACATTTACTGTCTGCTTTGTAGACACTGTGTAGGTTAGATATACTGATATGAAAAACAGACACAGCAGTCCAAAGTGGGAGGTTGGCAAGTAGATGAGCACAACACAGTGTAATAACTAAATATTTTGAAATGGAAATTTAATATGACTGTTGGGAGAGGCAAGTGATGGCTTGGAAGGAATGGGTTGTTAGAGTAGGTCATTCCTGAGCAGAGGCTTGTAAGTTGAGGAGGAATGCAGTTAGCTAGGAAAATGGATTTTTCACAAGAGAGTACAACGTTTGAAGAGTTACAAGAAGTTAACAGGATAACCAGTAGTCCTGTTTGACTGGCATGGGGGAGAGAGGGTTGCAGGGAGTTGGTTCAGAGAGGCTGGAAGGAGCCAGCTCATGAAGGGCTTCTTTATATCTTACTAAGGTGCTGGAATTTTATCCTGAAAGGGAAAGATCACTCTGGTAGCTTCATGAGGGGACTCGGAAGGGTGCTGGGAAATTGACTCAGGGACTATTACAGTAGCCTAAGAGAAATGAAGAATATGGGGTAATAACCATATATTGGGAATATATAGGGGTCAACATTCAGGGTCTGTAGGTGAGGACTAGAGAAGAGAGGTAAAAGGAAGGAAGATTGGATGTCTGTGGCTTTGTGGCTATGGCAACATGGATGCCAGCATGGATGTTGGAGTCATCCATCTGAACCAGGAATTCCTGAGTGAGGAGCAACATGTGGAACAAATATAAATGGATGAAGAGCTGGTCTGAAATTGAGAATCAGCAGCTATGAAAGTTATTGGACACAAGATACTTTCCTTCACTGGATGAGTAGTGAATAGACCTTCCAGGGAAGGCGGCTCAAGCACTGTTTCTCAGTGTGTACCTTGCTTCACCTAGGGATAATTGTTAAAAGATTTGGAGATGACACTAATGTTTAAAAGGACGCAAAAAAGATTTCAAATGAGTGGGCTCTCATCCATAATCAGAATTGGAATCTTTGGGTTGAGGCATGGGAATCCTTATTTTTAACTAGCTTTCTAGGAGATTGTGAAGTTCAAGACCAGTGGTGAGAAGTGAGACTACAAGAGTAGAGAATGAAACCATGGAGAACACTAGACTTTTTTTTTTTTGGTACTGGTGATCAAACTCGGGTCCTTGCGCCTGCACAGCAGGTGTCGAAACCACTGAGCTAAATCCCCGGCCCAAGAAAAGATTAGACTTTAAAGACAGGTAGGATTAAAGAAATTACTAAATACTGGGATACTGAGATAATCTAAAATACTTTTCTAATAAAATTGTAGAGAATAGGGGCCGGGGATTTAGCTCAGTGTTTCTGCTGCCTGCCTCACAAGCACAAGGTCCCAAGTTCGATCCCTGGTACCAAAAAACAAAACAAAACAAAACCAAAAACGTGTATATGTATATATATGTATATAATTGAGAACTGTCCTTAAAAGTGTAGCTGTGATCAGCCTTGATTGTGTATGTATCTCTGAAACTATCACAATTTAGATAACAAGTTTTTCTCTCTTTTTTTTTTTTTTTTTTTTTGAGGTAGAATCTCACTGTGTAGTTCAGGCTAGCCTTGAACTCATTAGGTAGCCTAGATTGACCTTGAACTCTGAGTGATCCTCCTGCCTCAGCCTCCTAAGTGCTAGGAATTACAGGCAGATGCCACCATGCCCAGGTCCCCCACATTTTTTTTATCAGTGTATCTTGGTTATTCAGATTAATGGGTTTCATTTTAGGAGATTTGTACATGAACACAATGTACTTTAATCTCTTTCCTCCAGCACACCCTTACCCCACCCTCACCCCTAGTTTGACATTTTGGGGGGGAGGGTTTCAGTGTGTGTAATGCATTTTGATCATATTCCTGGCTCTATTACCCGTACTTACACCCCCTTTCCCTTCTTCTTTTCCTCTTGTCAAATAGTAGTCTCCTTTCTTGTCAATTTAAAAAAATGTTGTCAGTTTTTTTAGTCTATATACTGCATTAGGGAGAACTTACAATATTTCTTATTTTGTTCAACATGATGATCCTCAGATCCCTCCAGTTTTTTTTACAAATGATAAACTTTCATTCTTTTTATGGCCAGTAATACTCCCTTGTGAGGGGCACTTTGACACTGCAGGAGGGAATGTAAGCTAGTACAGCCATTATGGAAAGTAAGATCCTCCTGACTCAGCCTTCCACAGTGCTGGAATCACAGGTGTGTGCCACTGCACACAGTTATGAATGAATATTGAATGGACAAATGTTTCCATTTCACTTCATAAATACCTAGAAGAGTATTTACCATCCTCGGTTGGTTGGTTGGGAGGAATATGATGAACTTTCTAAGAAACTGGCCCTTGGGCCAGGGATTTAGCTCAGTGATGCTGCTCCTGTCTCGAAAGCCCAAGGTCCTGAGTTGTTTGATCCCAGTACCAAAAAAATAATGAAACTGCCCCTTTTCCAAAGTAGTATCATTGTACATTCACAGCAGTATATGAGACTCAGTTTTTTTCTTTTTAGCTAATTTAAAAACAGTTGTGTATTAATATATACCACATTTTCTTTATCCATTAATGTATTAATGAGCACCTAGACTGGTTCCAGTCTTGGGTATTATATATTGTACCACAGTAGACATTGGTGTGTGCATGTCCCTCTGGTATGCTAATTTTATTTCCTTTGGGTATATTCCATGGATGGGTGTGGCTGGATCAAATGGTAAGTTTATTTTTAGTTTTTGGAGAAACTTTCATACTGGTTTTCATACTGGCTGTACTAACTACCAGCAGTTCCTACCAGCAGTGTCAAAGTGCCTCTAATCCTCGCCAGCATTTATTTGTGTATGTATGCATTTATTGTATTCTGCTTGATTGCTATTATGACTGGGGTAAGATGGAATCTCAATGTAATTTTGGTTTATATTTCCCTCATGTATGATATGTGTGTGTGTGTGTATTACTTGAGATTGAACCCAGGACCTTCACACTGAGCTACATCCCTTAGCCCTTTTTTTAAAATTGTGAGTCAGGGTCTCACTAAGTTGCTGAGTTGCCCACTTTGGGCTTGAAAGTGAGATCCTCCTGCCTCAGCCTTCCACAGTGCTGGAATCAAAGGTGTATGCCACTATGCACAGCCATGCTTGAGTCTCGTATGGACAGATGTTTCCATTTCACTTCATAAATACCTAGAAGAGTTTTGCCATCCTAGGTTGGTTAGTTGGAGGAGTATGATGAGCTTTTTAAGAAACTGCCCCTTTTCCAAAGTAGTATCGTTTTACATTCACGCCAGCAATATATGAGACTCAGTTTTTTTCTTTTTAGCTAACTTAATAGTTATATAATAATGTCTCATTTTAATTTGTGAATTATTCATCATTTATATATAAAAGGGTTGAGCACCTGTTCTTCTGCCTATTGGCCATTTTGCATTTTTTTTTTTTTTTTTTTTTTTGTTGGTATCAGGGATCGAACTCTGGTCCTTGCGCAGCAGGCGGCGAAACCACTGCGCTAAATCCCCGGCCCTAGCCATTTTGTATATTATCCTTTGTAAAGTGTCTAAAAGTTTTACA